AAAAAAAAAAAAAAAACCTTCACCAATTCATGTAATTAGATTGAAAAAATTAGATCTCATGGTATTTTTATTATTTTTATTAGTAATAATGAAGTATAATATTTGTCATGAAAAAAAAAGTTTAAGACTAGGAAGCAAGTAAGAAACGGGAGAAAACGAGTACGGTCCCACACAGATGAAGCGTACAAAGACAGGAAAAGTCCAGATGAAGCTCAAACGAGATTCTATCCAAAAACCAATTAGTTGAAGGAGGAGTAATCAACTAGACTTATAAATTAAACTTATTTTCTCTATATAAATGATGTGAGACAAACTCACGAGAATATTCTAATAAAACATATACAATTTTTCATATATTTTAAAAAGTAAGATGGAATCATATATTCATATACGATACCCAAGAGCGTTTGGATGAGATGGTTTGGGTCTCTTCCAGCTTAAACAGTGGTCTCGAGTTCGAGCCCTGGGAATGCAGCAGTGTTAAAACTCTTGAGGGAGAGCTTTGCCGCCCTTGTGGTCCTACCCGGCTCGATTCCGGATTAGTCGGTTCCCCTGTGGATCCGGAAACCGGAAGGTCCCTGTACCAAAAAAAAAATATTCATATACAATCCATTTATATTTAACTTTAAAATATTAATGAAAAATCCCCCTATATATTAATACAGTACGCGCTGAGCCTATGTGGCTGTTTTTGGTACTTCAGAATCCTATGTGGCAAAATTACATGTTTCGTTATTAGGCTTGGATAAATTTTAATTTAATTCCAAACCAAAAATAATTAGGTTCGGATTACCATAAATATGTTGATTATTTATGGTCATGTTATATGTATTAATTGTATTTTAATATCATTCCTTATTATAACTATTGAATTGTATATAAATTTTAAAAGTTAATAACTTTTGTATTTTTTATCAGTTTTACATATGTAATATATCAAATTAATCTTTTTTTGATGGACTTCGATTTAACATCCATATTGTATGTATAAAAAAAATAATTTATATTTATCTGTATAAAAATAATAAAATTATTTTTAATATTAATTAAAAAAATAAAATTATTTATCAACTAATATATTTATATTTCAAATAGTTATATGATATAAGTTATAACAACTAATATAATATAACACATGTAAGTCATAAGTAATACATATCATTCTAAAATATATAGTAATATATTTTTTTTGTAACTAAATTTAATTTAGTTTTCTCATTAATTTTAAAATTTAAGAATAATTTTTTAACAAGCACCCGTGTAATACACGGGTGGTATACTAGTTATTAATAATAAATTCAAATGTTTGCTCTTAGATATTATTTTCATCTTCCACAATTTATTATTTTATGTGATTTAAATATAAATTTTAACCAAAATGGTTTGAGAGAAATCTTCCACAATTTAGGTTGTGATTGTTTATGGATTTCACTAGATATTATTTGGTTTGTTTTTTTAACTATAGTTAATTTTGAAAAAAGTGGTATGGTTAATTGTAGTGGATATATTAAAATAATATTTAGATAAAATAATTAAGGTTGATTTGACGTGAAGTATGAGAAAAATGATTGGAATGATGGTTAATTAAAATTATGTGAGTAAATGAATAGTGAGTTAATGTTGATGTGATGTGTAATAATAATTTGTTGATATTATTTAATTATATTAATAATATGAGAGATAGTTGAGTTTGGTTAAAGTTGAGTTAAATTTGAGTTTTGATTAGATTTTTTTACTGTTCAAACAATAAATAATAGCCCCCTTAGTATTTTACGTGATTTCAAATTTAAATTTTAACCGAAACGGTTTCTGTCTCTCATTCAAATTTG